CCCCAAAAAAAGAGTATGTAAATTTACTGGTTGGATTTAATTTGGTTGGGTTGGTTATAGTAATGTATACGACGTTTATCTTTTACAACCTGTGCCGACCATTGTAAGATAATCTCGGATTCGAAGAGTTCCTCTTAACTAAAAAGCAGGTACAGAAGATTGCAGGTTGCCGGGATTAAAAAACGAAGGAAGGGAAGGGATGTGAAGGGGGTGAGAGGACTGTCAGTGTATGGTCAAGCGACAGGAAATACGTGATGCTATATATATACATACCCAAGTACTAAAATAAGTATAAAAGTAGTTTTTATTTTATAATAAGGCGCATAGTGTATGCAAAACAGGTACAGGAATGAATTTTTGATTTGTCATTTGTCTAACTCGTTATTAAAACATTCCACTGTTAGAGCAGTCTGTGTAATAATATAATAACAATAATATACACCCGTTGTACCTACTATTTTTGTGTATAATATTAATAATAGTGAAAAGTTGTAAAATAGCTGTTTACGGCCGGTCAATAAGAGCCGAGGACACGGTGTATGGCATTAAAAAAAAAAAAAAAATAGTACATTTATAATATGAAATCCATAAATCTTTCGACCAGGGAAACAAATCACCGAAGCGACAAATACCTACTTGATAGTATTTTTTGATAATACCTATTTATTATTATTATTTTTTTTTACCCTGGAGTGCTTTACCTCCATTCTCGACGAGTAGTGTCTAATCCCGGATTAAAGTAAATAGCACGACTGGCGTAGTCTGGCCTTCGAACCGCCCGAACCCGCATTTTGTGATTATCTACTTACATGACATGGGCAAAAAAACCCGGACAAGATTTGGCAGTGTATTAAATTTGAAAATAATTTATCACTTTCTTAGAGTGATTTAATACACAGTGTAGAAACTCTAATAAGATATTGAAACAGCTAATGCGGTTAAAAATGGATATGTTTTTTTCGTGCGATAAATTACAAATTTAATTACATTATAATGTTAACAGGGGTTTTTTTTTTTTTTTAATTGTTATTAGTATTTTTGTCAGAATTATAATTTCTCTTTTATTGCGTAACGGAGGCCGGTGTATAATGTGAAGTGTGTGCAAGAGGTATGCCTGTTATAATAAATATAGTATGTAAGCAAAACGATTATATCGGTTTTTGTAATTTTTTTCTTTGTTCGCAAAAATTAAAAAAAGAATTAAGAAACTAAGTACCCCTTGACCGAGCGTTTTTTGATTATCGATAATTTAAAAGCTTAAACGTCAGCGGATATGAAAATGAGAACGTTAAGCACTCTTTAAGCAACTGCCAATTGAACGTAAATGTATTTTTTAAAAAAAAAAGGTTACTTGAATAAATCTAACGTCGTTCGCCATTTTTTTTTTTTTTTTAAGATGTCCGACTTTAGTTATTTTAGTGAACAATAATATACGAGTCTAGGGATAAATTTTCAAGCAAAAAATGTCTAAAATTAATTTTTTTCATTTCAAACAAATTAGATTTTAACTTTTTGCTGGGTAAGTATTTTCAAAAACCCATTTTCATTTTTCGCAAAATGTTTAGTTTTGATATTTTTGTTTAAAATTTCTTTTGACATGAGAAAAATATACAAAAGTATTTTTGGCGGAATAAAATTACTTTAGATAACAGAGTTTCTTCGTTGGACATTTTTGTATTTGGACATCTTTTGAGATAGATTTTTTTTTTACCGAGTTTTTTAATCAGTTTGACATTTTTGTACTTGGACATGTTTTCCGCTGGACTTTTTTTACAGTATACAATGCACGATTAAATAATATATATATATATACTTTTTCTTTTACTTCTCTCTATCGGTTTGGGATTTCGACGCTTAGAAATCGTCATTATTTTGTTCTAAATTTAATTTGATCATTCGATTGTATGCGCTTTTGTGTATATTACCCGTTTATGTCTAGTTGCGACTGAAGTAGTGTGCAGTGTCATTCGACACACCTACGATTTGGGCAACTCGCTTAATTTTTTATATTATTGTATGTGGTGGCCCGAATGAAAATTGGATAGTTATATTAAATATATATATTATTTAAATTATAATATGTAGCAGTTGTATGGAATCTCGTTGCTTTCTCCTCCGGTATAGGTAAACATATAAGCTGGTATCATGTCCTCTTACCGGGGTTAAAACGGTATACACATATATATATATATATATATAAGTGCGAATCTCAGCCGGGTTTCCAGGCCTACTTAAAATACATATAATATATTGTATATACCCTACCTGTAGGTATATACGCCTCTTTAAACAAACAATAGCCGTGTGCTCCGGTGGTAACCACTCACGGTTTATGACGGTGTCGATGGCGCTTAAACGCAAAACGCATTGTTTCGACAAGTCGCTTACAGATTTTGCTGATTATCCGCAATGAGGTTCAGGGAAACCTCTCCCTTTGACTCGGATAGGTTCGACGAATAACGATAATATAGCATAATAATATAAGAATCACATAGCGGCTTGCAAAGAATAAACGCGTCCTTTTCAATACCGCACGCACGGTTAACCCAACACAGCCCCAATATTATATTGTTGTTACCGGCAGACCCTCCTATAGTGGATTAAAAATGGGAAGGGAGGGGGGGGGGGTTGGGGTTTCTGAAGGAAACAGAAGGACTGAAGTCAGTAAGTGCAGAAGGTCTTGGGAAAAAAAAAACGCTGATCAAATAAAACCGCAGAGAGTGCACTTCACGGGGTAAAACGATAGGTTTTTTAAATAACGATTTTTGATTTGGTTTAAACTTAATATCGCAGCAGCGCCAAATTATAGTTTTCCGAAAATATTGTACACTAATTATAAAGACTAACGTAATGTGATAAGAAATACATGATAACAAGACGTTGATTAACGGTGGTTGATAACATTTCTTATTGACCATACTGTATATAATAGAATGATCATATTTGTTTACATTTTTCGATTTTTTTTTTAGAGTACACTATCAGGTTTTATTTAATCTGTGATAATATTTTAAGATAGGGGCAAAAACCTATTTGATCATATAGCGTAGTACCGACCGCTCAACAATGAAGATTTTTGTTTTGTCTTTTGTTCGGTCATACTGGTACAAGTCCTTCTGTTTACTTCATTATCGCATGCAAGCCAGTATAATGACGTTATGTACTTGTATAGTGTATTCATCTCTTTATATTGTTACTCTAAGGATTTAAAATGTATAATAATAAAAATAACAAACGGTAACTCGCCGCACGACCATTAAACGTTTATACTCTTGTTTGCGTTTAATATTATTATTAGCGGTTGATAGCTGTTTAGACATAAAAACCTCGTCGACGACACACCGTTTAATGGAAAAAAAATATTTTAAAACCAAATTTAAACATGGTTTTAAGCGATGCGACGATCAAATATTCGTTTTAAGTAGGTACGACACCGTGAACTTTATTGCCCGCATGATTATTAAAACGTTAAAAATGTTAAAGTACATAAAGTAATAAAGTAGTAAAATTTAACATGCACACTAATACTTGAGATACATATTCATATTGTGTAATAATTATATTATGCCAACAGTAATTTAATTATAAAATTATTTGATTGGTATATTGAGTGGTAGAGTTAGTATTTTGATTAGTATGTTGATAAGTATGATGTGTCCATCAGATTAAAACGGGGTGATCAACGTGAATATTGTGAATAGAAATTTAAAATAAGAACGTTGCAATATGCTAAACTCCGAAGGACTGTATCGTTTACAATGTGTTGAAATTATTACTACCTAAAAATATTGTTTTTTTTTTTTTATTGTGGCATAATATATTATATCTCCGCCGTTTTTATAAAAAAAACACCTCTGACTTCAGCGTGCAATACGCTTGCAATTTATTACCAAGAAAATTGATGAGAATGGCTCTGTCTACTAATGTTTTTAAAACTACCCCTATGTGTTATCTACGTGTTAACGGTAACTAAATGCTTCAATGAAAAATGACACGGTCGTGAAAAATTAATGAGTTCTGTATAAAAACCAGACGTACATCTATCATTTTTCTTCCTAGCCATTACTCTCAAGTCTCAGCTAAAATTGGAGTAAGATGACTTTTCAGTACAATGCAGTAAGTATCCTAATTGGGATACCGACGATCGGTCGACATCTGTTAGGCTGGGTTCCTAACGTTTATAATTAATGATGATTATCTAAAACTAGAATTATGCAATTGTAATGATACTGGTCGACAAACAAACTATCGACAAGTCCAGAGGCTCCTTGGCCCGCAGATAGTGCAAATAAGTACAGTAACTGTTATGATGAGTTGATAAATACAAAGAATACATTTGTGTCGGTTCTGAGTTTCTTATTTTTTGCGGTAAAAAAAAAAAATACTGTCATATTTTTAGGTTCTGTGTAGTTGAATGTTTTTTTTTATAGTTAAGCATAAGAAATCAAAACTGCCTCATTTCGATTTGAGGCGTTTTAACATAATAATTCTTCGCCGGATGACACCCGTGAAAAAATTATTAACTGACACATCAAAATTATTTTAGCAATAAAAACAAAACCGCTACACTTCTCATTATGGCTCATAAAATATTTAGTCTGAAACAGCGAATCACCACAAAAACCAAATGTGGCAGTTTACTTTTTTTAAAACCTTTTACTGTATCGCCATAACCTCAATTTCTGGGTTGAGATTTAGTTGAGTGGCTTAAAATTAAAATAACATAAGCATCTGGTAACATATGAATAATTGCAAAATATTAAAGTTAAGTATTATTTGTTTTTTGTCTCAGGTGTCTGGCGGCCACTAAGTGCGTACACGCGGTACACCGTGGACGACGTACCGGACCCATGGACGGCGGTGGCGGCCGTTGAATGCATAACCGCGGCGGCGGTGGCCTAGGAGGCGGCTGGTGCGGCGGAGGCGGCGGCAGCGGTAGTGCCGTGAAAAGGCCGTGGCCCGTGCCGGTGGTGGCGCTGGCCCAGCCGGTGGTGGCCGCGACGGCCGCTTCGTGGCCGTTGTCGCGCCAATAACCCGACACCACCGCGCGGCCACAGCCGTCGACCACCACCGACGACCGTCTTACAACATACTCGCAACAGTCGCCAGAGACCGATAAAAAAGTGTTGGTTTAAAAGCTTAAGACAAACGACAGAGCTATCTTGTAATATCTTTGTGGACGTGCACGGCCCCCCGAGAACCCACCGAGCCTGTTCGGACTGCCGGCGGCCCAGCGCCGGACCCAATGAACGAGACCGAGTGCCAAACGTTGCGAGACACGCTGGTGTGGAGAGACCTGCACGTGTTGGGAGCCCTTGCCGGCTTGTCGTTCATAGCGCTGATCGTGTTCATCGGCAACACGCTGGTCGTGGCCGCCGTGTTCAACAGTTCCAAGCTGCGGTCGCCCACCAACACGTTTATCGTCTCGCTGGCAGTGTCTGATCTCATGGTTGGCGTGGCCGTACTACCTTTTAGCGCCACGTGGGAGGTGTTCAAGGTAAGCGGTCGGTTATTATTCAATAATAATACAACACACGAAATGAGTGTTTTAAATCAGACGGATCACTCTGTATATCATGAATCTACTCAACCAATATCGGTTGACAACGTTTTCAGCATACAAAAAATTCTCGAACATGTGAAAAATATTACTCTGTGTACAATATATTTTGTAACGAAAATAATTTAAACACAATTATTGAATTTATAACATTCGGGTAATACCGTCGGAGCGACCGTGTTATTTATATTTTATTTTCTGTTAATATAACGTGGTATTTAAATATTTTTACTGCATTCAAATATTGTAACAATTGTTAAACAATCGTATTAATGGTTAATTAAATGTCATCTTAATGTCACCGCATTTCTGTGTGGGTTATTTTTTGGTTGCAAAAAAAGGGCGTACGTTATACCGCTTTCTACCTTTTTTTTATTATTATTATTAAGGGAATTAAAAAAGAAAATAATTGGCGATTCTACTGGCTTTGGAGCGTGTATTCGATATTTTTATTAGTACCTTTTTTCAAAAATACTATTTAAGTGGGTTTTTTTTTTAAATTTTTCTACCGAATTTAAAATTTCCAATACACATTATGATTGTATGGGTTAAATTTGTTTGCAAAATTATCGTCGAACCGGAATCGCTCGTTTTCAACGCAATTAGGTATTCATTACCGTGCAAGCGTACCTACACCGTACTCAGAATAAAGGATTTTCTATAATATCCTATTGTTGAACATATTATTATATATATACCTACACCTACACGTGTACCTATTCATTTACATAATAATATTTTCGCATAGCCATACCCTGTTATTGGGCTGCTCTCGAAATAATAGCCACTTAATGAATCACTGCGCTATCATTGCCAGTGCTCACGATCCGAATCATTTACCTATTCAACTTAACGCGAATACTATTGTGTGTTCTGTGTAAAATAATTGAACTTGCTGGTATTTGAAAATATTTTCATTATGTTGTCAATTACGGTATAAATAGGTAATTACGGCGATAAATTATACTACAAACAGACGATCATCCCTAATCGTATCCACCCTAACATCGAAAATACATTATTGTCTTTAGGGTAGGCACATTAATGCTTCTATCGATATGTGTAGTTATGCCATTGCACATTCTGTAACCGAACATTTCTCTGTCTTGGTTATACGGGAATTGTTTGTACGGTTTAATATCTGAAAACGCAATAAGTAGTCCCGGTATGATGATATTTTTTTTAGAAAAAAACCATTTTAGTGGAATAGTTTATGTATTACATTGTAAACCGATGGCAATAAAATCATTTCAAACGATAAAAATATTAATAGCTTTTTTTTATCGCTTTGTACGATGGGATAATATAGTTTTCAATTGTTTTTATCTTGTAACCGACCATTGGCGAGATGGGAAACATTTACGTCCGGAATTAAATAACACAATTAAAAACTCGGATCGTTATCGTCGAATCGTCCCGCTAGTGTGTTTCGCTTTAATCTTTCCAATTGTACGACCATAAAGCGTTTATCCGGTACATATTATATTATTGTTATTATGTTCAATCTGGCAAGTACATCGGTTCACTTTATTTAGAATTGCAGAAATTATAACAACAGCAATGTTTTGGTTTCGGTAAAATGTGTATTACGTTCTCAACCGCGATTTAGATGCTTAATAACAGTGTTTCAAAACGTTATTACTAGTGCGTTATACCCTCATTCCATCTCTAGACAAACGTTCTATGTTTTTGTACTTGGCTGTTTGATTTTCCCCGTTTTTCTCGAAGACTTTACTCGGATTGCAATACCGGGAATGGTCTTAAACGCCAAGCACTCTCGATCAAGCGCTGTGAACAAACAAAAATAACTGAACGAATTCACTCGACCGCCATTAATACACGTATACTTCCATAATGCATTAATATATATATATATGTTAACCCAATAGTGTTTACCTAATCCGAGACAGGGAAATAAACTCGTTAGACGATCACAGTCGTCATGTTGTAAGTTTTGGGACGGTAGCAAATGCAAAAAGAGCACTCACAAGTTACTACATATCGCAAGGACCTGCCCCCCCCCCCTTTGGTTGTACTCTTGTCGTCTTATTTTCCAAATCAGACAGGCTCATGCCCTCGACCACTATGTCTAGAGAAACAAATAAATAGCCCCTTTAGCCTTCCGAGGGTCCTGTAAACTTCTATATGATCGGCTCAGCTGTTAGGTCACTCGGTGGCCGCAGCCGTAATCCTACCGAAAACCAAAACGCCGCCTAATCCCGTCTGGTTGGCAAAACACAAATATCGAACAGACCGGAAGTTCTATAAATTATTATTGTACTTACGGCATTTCAGACTAGAATATTTAGTTGTTTACACGGAAGCAGCTTCACCGAGTGCCGTATAATATTGTTGTGGTAATCTGTAGTTTATGTCGAAGGGCACATAATAAATTTGTTAATGTCGAACAAAAAAAGGCAATAATTATTGTAGTCGACGGTTTTTATCTTAAACAACGGCCAATACACAATAATTATGTAGTAAGTAGTGTGAGAATTAAAAGTTTGGTTTTGGTTTGGCTTAGGTTACCCAATGTACCTAATTGTAGGTTTAGTGTACTTAATTATAGTCAAAACATGCTTTTTATTATCACAGATCTTGCATTTTTTTTTATATCATCAATTTTCATGTACTAATTTGATAAATTTACTACTATTGTAATTGTAATTTATTTAAGTCTCGTCGCGTTAGGTCCGGTGACATTATAAGCCAATGACATTAGCTTGTTTTTTAACGGAACCGTGTTGGTTTTTTTTTTTTTGTTTACCTCGGACTGAGGTTGGGTTGTAACTTTGCAAATTATTATTAAACGATGTCGGCGTGGGTGAAAAAAATCCCTAAGATATTACTTTTATTATAATGTCCGACTAAATCCAGTTTAAACCCAAAGTTGAGACAACGGTCGCCGCCTTTAATCTGGGAATTATTATAAACTACCGCAATGGGGAAAAAACGCTTATATAATGTTATTATTTTCAGCGGCATAAATCCCCACGGATGTATCGATTATTGTGATTTATATACATATAATATAAAGCTTGGCCTAGGTTATATTAATAAGTTTTAAAAATGGAAATTTGATTAAACTTTTCTACGTTGGACTCGCCCAGTTTATTAAACAATTCATTTTTGCTAAGCGTTTTCTTAAGATTTGTGACTCATAATAATATTGTACGATTCTTTTTTTTTTTGTGATAACAATAATGTACAATTTTAACTTCGATGCGTAGCCGAGAAGGTGTTGTTTGAGGTTTTAGGTCAGAAAATTTGTCAAAATCTGTAGTCAAACTTTTTTTTTATTGAGGAAAAACTAAAAATAGGGTAAAATTACACTGTGAGTGTACCAACAATCAACCGGTATTAGAAAAATATTTTCATAATGTTGTTATTTACGATAAATGGGTAACTACGGCAACAAATTTTCACAGACAGACGATTAACCCCAATCGTATCTACCCTAATACTAAAAAAAGAAAATACAATTTTAGCACATTATTGTCAACGATTTTTAACATAAATTTCACTCATTAATTTCGCCGAAATCTTTGTCTAATGAGCTATGTTTTTCGTTTGAACATTTCCTTATAATATCAGGTTAAGTAAGAGTATCAGTATCAGTTAAGTAAGAAAATAAATATGTTAAGTACATATTTATTATCTTTTGAACGTTTTACTTTTATAATTTTTTTTTTTTTTTTGGTACAGCTAATCGGGGGGTTGGGTCAGGTTGCTGATCCGTTGCTGTGCAAGCTCTCTCTCTCTCTCTCTCTCTCTATTAGCGTTTGATTGATTATTTTTATATATCCCACAGTTTTGTAATATAGACGGTGGTTCTTTTGTTTTCATTATATAAGTGTCCATGACGTATGACTTATTCGGTGACGGATCTTGACACCTCCGGGCTTATGTACGTGTGAACGGAATTCCAAACTTTGTACAATACCGAGAACGCTGATGTATCGCACACCCCTCTCGTCCCCTTGATTTATCCGTCACTGTATTAATTTTTTAATGTACAACGGTTAGTAATAAATAGAGTGAGCGAAAAATTCCTCCCGAAACATGCTGTTGTTTTCCTAGTACGATTAGGTTACCAATGTATTATGCGCTGGTAATATTGTATTTTTTTCCCCCTCAACGTTTCTGTCTCGTTACCGGGGCCATATCTTCAATATGGCAATAATGGCGTTCGCCCACAACAGCTATACTTGACCTAATGCGCATTAAGAAAGTTCTGGTTAGATTACACACAAGCGGCGTGGTCCCGCAGCTATATAATATATATTAATTTAAAGTTTAAAACTACCGCAACGTTAAGTTGCCCACCACCGCGCGCCGCCGTCGCCATCAATTACATTTAATCGGCATTCGTGAGTGTGTATATTCAACGCACACGGCTATTATGTAATATAATATATGCGACCGGTGATAACCATAAGTGTAAACTTTCAACGGTACGCAAAATATGCAATATTTATTCACAGCATTTGTTTCACGGAATAATACTTTATCGACGGTCGCAGACTTGCAGCTGACAAACATATCGAATTCCTAACAAAAATACAATACCACAATTAAGTGACTTGTTTATGCCAGATCTTGATCCTTGATCGTCTGAATCTGTCTGAAGCCCTTGTCTTCTAAGGCCCTGTACATGCATACAGTTTCTCTGAAAAATTGATATGTACTCAGTGTGACCAAAGAGTACTGTAACTTAAAAATGAAACATAAACAATAAATAAAGTTGGTTTTTGAATATTTCATACTCGTGTCCCTAATCACGCCGATAAGGCGCCTATATCTAATATTATACATATGTCTGAAAGCAAGGGAAAATCGACTAATAAGAGTGACAAGGTGATGGATATGTAACCTAATTTTAGAATGCTATATAACCGTTCATTTGTAGTAGCAGTAACTAGAGAAACTATACGATA